AAGGCTAAGATCACGTTACTTCGTACACATTGTACGTGCTTGAATAGGGTGCTCGTAACTTTTAGAGCTTACACAGGTGAACTTCAAGGACAAACATATATATTACCTTTTGCACGTTTATAAATTACTGGTATTTATGGAATTCGAAAAAGAATTGTGGAGTTTCATATGTGTAAAATTATTGTAATTATAACAGAATTCTACTATACAAATATTTTGATTTTTTCTGTGTCCTGTTGGCCATTTTCAAAATATCTTTACACAGCACCACGTTAGGAGCGTACTAGAAATAAAAATAAAATCTTGTAAACATGGGTCCTTGAACGTTTTGTTATGGAGTTACAGCCTTTTTGTTTTGGAAGGAAAAACATAAAATTAAAGTGTAAACACGTCTACAGTAAAGTATTTACAAATAACTAATTTCAACGTTGCTGATAACTTTTTTAACAACAAAAACAAAATAAATACTTGAAATATCTGCCTCTCTCATGACGTATCATCGCACGCTCTAAAAATTTCCAGTAGTCTAAGGAATTAACTCACATCCATCTTTGACTCTTTGTTGTAATTTTATTAACTGCCATTGCATACGCAATAACTTTGTGGTGGCCTGACAAATAACAAGCTCAAAACGTGTATTCCGTAACTGAATACACAAAATATCTTCATGCATTCTTTGCAACGTGTATTTAAAAGTATTAAATCCACCTTGTTAGATAGTACCAACTTCGGCTACCAGATCGCAGCACCTCTGTGTCTACCTCACGACTTGAAAAAATTAGTTTAGCTCATGAACTTTTGGTTGCCTCCGTATTCAGAGTAAATATATAACTCTGCTTTGGTTGGAAAATTAAAATATAAATTTGTTTCCCAAACGTTGATACCGACTTAGAAAAAATTATTTCCAAAATCCACATTTTTACTGTCGTAAAAATCTCAAATTAATTTTTGTTTGTATCGATATGAATTTCGAATTAATTAAAAATTAAACAAAATACGTGGTCCGTTTTATAACGAAAGTGTACAGAACATAAAATATACGGCCTTCAACATTTATTTTAAACATATTTAGCCAACATTCAACAGAATATAAGGAAATTAGGCCTGATTGCGTCTGTGCTCTGTGATATCTGAAGTTAACAATGAGAGGTTTGCAAAAATATATTTTATCAATAGAGTATATGATCCACAAATACACTATACATTTTAAAGCTTAGAAGGTTAGAACGCTGGCCTTGTAATCCTGGGGTCTCGGGTTCAATTCCCGGCGGTGCCCGAATTTATAACTTGTGTTGGGCAAGGCCGTGGTCTAGGCAACACGGAGTTTTCCTCTGGGGGCTTCCCCGGTTTCTCCGTGGCATCCCAACAATTACTCCATTCACACACAGAAGAAGGCAATGGCAAACCACTTCTGGATCATCTGCCAAGAACGTATATGAACAGGTCCCAGTCCGAGAAAAGGATGGAAGGATCCTGTTCATATGGACCTGTCGTCAGACAGAACACTAAATAAATAAAAAATCTGACGTCCACAAGGTTGACTGTAGCTGAGAAATGACTCGTTCACCATAATTTAGAGACTGGGATAAGTTATCTAGCTAGATCTTCAAAGCCTCTTACACAGATTTTACGTTAATTAGGCCCTACAATTCCTAGAAGTTTGTCAGAAGGGATTATATTTATCGTCATCATGCGGTTGCAAATTCCGTGACGCTGTGAAATGAACCCTAAATATTAATCTCATGTCAGACAACTTTTGATGCCAGGTAGACTGGAAGCCGCCTACGAGAAAGGCATTGCCCTGCTACGGAAGGGGCAATCACACTTGAGATATGCGACAACATTCATTCCACTAGCTTAACGACTTGTCATTAAAGTTCTCTTATCTCTAATGTCAACTCTCTAAGGCAAGATGTCCATCACGACTCATACCAGACAGAAACTGGACAACACTAGTCCTCAGTTTATAAATTAGTTTTCTGAACTTAATTAACGGAAATTTTATTGAAATTCCATCGAAAAATTTCCCTGCAAATAAAACCACACATCAGCAGACAAAAGAGTCAAATGATGATCTAATTTATCGTCATAAAATAACTAAGAGAAATCAGCTGTTTTTTGTCCAGTGTCAATGATTTCCATGCTGTGTTCCAACACAGACCTTATTTTGTCTATTTTTTTCTGATTCGGACACGGCTTTTTGATAGGTTCCTTATCTATAAGTGACCCAGCAGACCTGTTAAATTTATTAAAAGGTTTATGGATGCCAGGAAATTTAGTGGAAGAATTTTTCATATACGTCTCGTGCAGAAAAACACACTGTTGAATAGTATATTTAGCCATATCCACAAATGCATCAGTAAATATAACTTAAAACCATTTTAGACGTTCTTGAATTGTGTGAAATATTTAGCATCGGATGTAGCAACTCTTGGCGATGAGTCAACTACTGCAGATAGCCGGGAAGTGAAAATTTCGATTATCTTTATTAGTATAAGCATTGTATTTCAGCATTAGCTAAACGTATCGAATTTTTCAATATCCTTATCACTTATTTCCGTCATAATTAGGCTGAATCGTGATATTCTAACAGTTTATCTAAATAACTCTGTAGGACAACGTAAAAAAAGACCTAAATTTCGTCTAAATCTCTCTTCACGTCGATAGTGTTATTCAAACGTACCTGTGCACACAAAAGAACATATATTTCTTATGGTGAATCTTAATGCTAAAGGATACCAAAAATTTGTGATCAATTATCCGGCTTCGTTTTTATCATTTTAATCTCATGATCATTAAATCCTGACCACAAGCGGCTGGTTTTGGATTTGGCGTTCAGTGGTAAAAGGAATCACGTCTCATCGCTAGGAACCGAATATCTTTGCATGAACTGAAGTTATTTCGAGTGGATGCTGGGGCACATGTACTTCAAGACTCCTGTAGCATTTACGTAATTTTCTCCTTGATGTGTTGCGTGTATTCTCCTCTGAAATCAAACACGAGTTCCGCCCAAATCACCAAGGTCATCTGTGTACACAGGTATTTTTGAATCGATTTCCACTTTCAAAACATCTTATTCCTGCAGATACACAGTAACTTTTGAATCGCCCTGTAAAAGTAAATGTATTTCTCCGGCACACAAAAACAAATGACGTGAAGTGAGAGGAATACTACAGGTATTGGGGGTCGACACCAGATTCGTATCTCCCATAGAGTGCCTCTCAGAACCGGTTCAACGGACAAGGCGTAGGGATCGGTCAGAAGCTAGACAAAACCTGTAACTCGCTCAACATTTCTGTCAGTAAACAGCTGATACATCGAGACTGCAGGTGAGTGACTATGCATTCTCACGTTTCACTGTTTCTAAACACAAGGTTGTCGTCTGAGATAAAATATAAGCCGTCAATATTCTATTTGTGACCAACGATATTTGCTTCTTGGCATGGAGAAGTGATTAACACTTCACTTACCATACTTTACACGAAGTTTCGTATAAACCGAAGCAAATATTTATAATATTCGCCACAAGGGAAGTGGTTAATAGCACTGAGTACTCAATTAATCCTAGATATATACTCAGTTACAATGTTGCTTTAAAACGCTGTGTCAAATACTGCGTTATGCTGAGATTCTTGATGATGGAGGCCGTAAACATCTCCGAAACGTTAACCAATTTCTACCAGACTACACTTCCACAAGACATTCATGTCCAAACTGGTTACCGTAAGAACCTTAAATATAATTTACTTAAGTGAAAAAAAGCTTATGAAATTTCACGTCACTTTCTAAATATTTTAACTGGAATCGACAGTGTCTTTGTTTTTATTATATTTTGAGCAGAACACGAGGGATTGTCAACTTTTACGACTTTGGGCGACATTAAAGGCATATTCTTTATTTCTGGCTTATCTAAAAACTCTTACCGTTTATTAGAATATATAACGTCGAATAATGGAATGATTTGTGAATAATTAACTAAAAAGGAAGTTGAAATAAACTTCATGGTAATATGTTAAAGAATTTAGTAACCAACTGTTAACTTAATAATGTGTTTAACATCCGTAGTTTTTAATATTCTGTCCCCATCTGTAGTGAAACTACAGCAGTGTTGCTTGCATAGCTATTCCCCGTGAGATAAAATACCCGAAGACACCAGGAACTCCTTAATTACACTTAATAACCGCGTGTTGTGGAACAATAACGCGGATTACTTCCGGTTGCGTTGATAATTATCTCGTTAATTACTGATCTTACGTCTACGAAGTGTGACCACACAAACAGATCCTCCATTTTTGAAAGATTCTCGGGTTACAAACCGCGTCTGGTGGCTTGTGTAACCCCGAGAATCTTTCATCAACTTCAGTCGACGCGAACTACGAAATGTGTAAAGTCGGAGTGTGAAATAACATCGAATGTCGGAAGCTCCTAACGAAAGATACAGCGTTAATATTATTGTCTTTTAGGTGTAAATGTAGACTTTAAAGGTAAATTTATTCTCCAGTCTTCAGAATCACGCCATAACTGCTTGTGAGAGAAAAGTACACACGTTTTTAACCTGTGGTCAACCTCGAATACAAAAGTATAAAACGTAAAACGACGTTTCGGAGATGGGACTCTATCTCCGTCTTCAGGTTCCTACACAGTTGGGCCCACTAGATAGAGCTAATCCCTATCTCCTGCGATTTCGGAATGGCGTGTGCCTCAAATTTTGCCAAAGACTCGCCAAAACGGCTACGGAAAACTATGAAATGCTAAAGCAAGCATTTGGGGAGTCCGCAATGGGTCGTGCACAAACTTTTGTGTGGCATTCACGTTTTAAAAATGGCCGAACCTCTGTCGATGATGACGAGCGTTCTGGACGACCATCTTCGAGCACAACAGTTTAACCTCTCGCACATAGTAAATAAATCTTGAGTTAGAAATGTAAGGTTAGGACGGTTAAAATATTTTTGTTATATCGACTGAACTTGCTGAAGGTAATTATTTCATTTGACAGATCGCTGTATCTGCAGAAGCAGCTAAATTCTCTAAACAGCAATGGCAAGAGACTATAAAATATCCGTGGACTACGTACACGGATCCTGACATCCGTCGGCAGTTCAAGAAGCATTCGGTTTTGGGCAACGCAGCCCTGGACCCTGACAAATACGAAAAGGTATGCACGATTCTTAAAATTTGCCCAGTAAAGAATTTTAATTTTTTGAGATCTCTTACGTTGGTGTTCACTGTTAAATCCACTATATTTAACATCGAAAAAATAATAAAATATTTTTTTATAGTAAAAATCAGAATTGATTAACAAATAAACCTATAAATTGTAGACGAGTTTTCTTCTTATACACCTTATTTAAGTAAGAAGTGATTATTTTGTGTTCGACCTGGCAGATCTCTGTTCAAAATATGAGTACTGTACTGTAATGTACACTTTTACATTCTGCATTTCTTCTGACGTGTTTATAAAGTATTGCTGACAGCTTTAAAATGTGAAAACATTACGAAGACTGGCAGTTCTAAAGTATAATTTCAGCACTTTTCCGATAGTACAGAATTGGTGAAGCCAAAAGCAACTCTCTGGATGTTAAAGTCTCAAACCGACTGGAGTAACCATGTAGCGTTCATTATAGAAGTAAGAAACAGGGAAATGGTATCTTTTTCAGTACGAGCAGCTAGTGTCTGACATGTCCTCCATCTACAGCAAGGCCAAGATTTGCGACTACAAGAATCCAAACAAGTGTGACCTTAGTTTGGAACCAGGTATTATGCACAATAGTTATTTCAAAGACGTTGGTAGTAACTCTGTCGAATAATGAACGAAATATAAGGGATCCAGAAGGAAACTATTGTGATACAATTTAAGATAGCCTACTTTCTTAGTAGTTGTCTGGAGGGGTATAGGGAAAAGACAAAAAACTTGTCAGAATAAGCCGGTCTTCAGGTTGGGATTTGAATACGGTAGGTGTTTCTGCCGAATACAAACAGTGAATAATCCAGCAAACCACTCGGCCTCAGTCTGGTAGAAGTTTGCCGGTGTTTCGGAGGTCCTTGCTGCCTCCATCATCAGGACGAATAGTAAGGAGGGCGCGAGGAATTGGTTCATTTGCTCCTCTAAACAACCGGTACACTTATACAAGACTGCACGGGGCAACAACGCAGAAGACAGCCATCTTCGACAGTAACAAATTTCCTTTCTTGGTTCTACTTGTGTAACCGCTAAAACACGATGGGAATTGATGGAAATGATTGTTAGATGCAAGATGAGGATCGGAGGCCCTGTATTTGTTACAGTACTCCGATGTTTGTTTCCACCAGCTTAGCGACCCCTTAAAATCTCACTGTTTTCAGGCCCCACTAATTTGATCCAAGAGCCTTTAACAGGGTTATAAGTATTACGATTTAGCTAACTCGCTTCATTAGAGGCCGAGCGAGAAGTGCTGGAACGTGTGCCAGGGATTGATTTTGGTCGTGCGAGATGGACCAGTCCAAAGCACGCGCTGGAGGGGTGTCAGCTTCAGTTGGTTCGTAGCTCTAACTGTGTTTAGTTCGGTGCGTCACCGCAGCTGAGGCTGTGCGACCCCCACTACTACTGAACTTCCCTCTCTCGGCTTACACAACGCGCATTTAGGTGCCACGACTACTCGCGCTACCTCTACGTGTTGAAATGTGTATTTAGTGACTCCAGAAACTTCCTTTGAGTAGTTATATTTAGTCAAGAAAGCTCAAGAATTTTATGGAACCCGATGGTATATTACCGTGTTCATAACAGCTTTATGGTGGTCCTTATAGTGAGCCCTATGAATCCGTCCACACTCTCACATCGAACATTTTTAGAAAGAAGAATTAATATTTTCCTTTCATATACGTCTAGAATTTTCATGTGATTATTTTCTTACAAATTTGCTACTGAAATGTGTCCATTACTTATCTCTCTTATTATACAGGGTGATTCAAAAGGTTAGGGCCAAACTGAAGGAGCGTATAGGGGGACTCAGAGAGAACAACTTTCGAATAGGAATCCATGTCCTCCGAAGTTATCCTGAGTTATTCGAGGCCATTGAAGGTAGGGAAGTCTGATAACGTACCGCTGAAATAATCGTAATTTGCTATTCTCCTACTAGCTTAATTTTGTTTTTATTAATGTACAAGGATTACATTAGCAATCTTACAAACCAAATTATTTCATCGGTATGTTAGCAGACTTCCCTACCTTCAATGGCCTCGACTGACTCAGGATAACTTCGGAGGACATGGATTCCTATTCGAAAGTTGTT